TGTTTCCGTCTAAAAAGTAGGTAGATTCTCTTGCAGACCCCAACATGCCGGTAACATGGCTGTTTGTGATTCTTTCTCTAACCAACGACACCGTTACAGTGCAATGAAGCTTCGCATGGAGTTTCGTCGACATCTTCCATAAACTGGCCTAATACGGTCGAAAAATGTTCGATTTATGACTTGCCGTCGGTGGGCCAGACTGCGTTGGAGATAGCCCCTTTTGCGGGACCCCAAAAATCTGTCCCAATATGTGATTTTTTTTTTTCTTGATTCTACCTTACCTACATATTCCAAAGACCGTGTCTATGAATTTTCATGAACTAATTCGATAAACTGATGAAATGGGGTCGTTTGGGCGCCAAAAGAACCTGAATTTCGCCGTTTCATACTTTAATCAAGTAGTTTGGGGAAATCCAGGATGCGAAATACTTCATGGCACAAGAGCTGAAAACTTCACGCCGTTTTTATGAGTTAGACTCTGAAACTTTGCACACATGTACCTTGGGTCAATACGAAACGCTGTGTGGCGGGGCCTTTTTCATTTCCTTCCATGGTCGCCAGTTATTCGGGGTCCCAGGAGCCGCACACGACCCCGAAATCTCTAGGACCCCGGGTATCCGGCGACAGGAAAAAAAAAAGGCCCCTCCACACAGCGTTTTGTAATGACCCAAGGTACATGTGTGCAAAGTTTCAGAGTCTAACTCCTAAAAACGGCGTGAAGTTTTGCTGTTGAATCTTCTTGTATCCATTTCCCTGAACCAGCTTGTACTGTACGTGAACACCAAAGCCTCTCTGGACCACGTGCCCCCCAATAATCAGGAGTGTCCAATTCCACAAAACGGTCATCGTTATACGTACATATCATGTGTTCGTGTTTACAAGTTGGGGCAGCTGTCTCAGATCCATATGTTTTTGTTCTGTGACGGATATTCAACACGCGAAGTGGCCAAGTTCATTCGGGCCCACTCTGTTGAATTGAGTTACTTTTCCCTCAAAGGCAGCCGATGCGGGACACTTACTTCCTCCTTGTGAGACAGGTGATGTCTGATGTACACAACGCATACGAGGTGCGATACACTGGGGACAAGTTTCTTGTGTGTCCTTACGCTTACAGCAGAGGTTCTTGACGGAAGCATCGGCCGTCATTTCGCAGGGAAGGATCTAAAATGGTGGAACAAGAAAGGGGAAGGCGGGGCAGACGCTGCCCGCGCCCAAGCGGAGATGGAGAAGGCCCGCGTGAAGCAGCTCGACGAAGACCTTCTCAACGAAGCCCTGTGAGTCACCTGCTACAACAGCACAGCAACATATGTTGTTCACTGATGAATCCCTGCCGGGAATGGTTCCCCTTTGACGCTAAAATGCGGTATACAGAACTGGTGTTGACCTCCCTACAACCATGCCAACGAGAGTGGAGGCCAAAACGTATTACAGCTCGTTTCGCAAAAACATCTCCTTGTTATTGCTGTAAGTTGTTGCCGCGTGGCGTTCGCTTCAGCATGCATCAATCCCTCGTGGGTATCACTCCCGTGCCTATTGTATGGCCGAGAGACACACTCAGAGAATGTGGGGACATCTTCCGAACCACGAGCATGCTCAGTGCAGAATTCCCTGGGGCACTCACTCCAATTCTCTAGGCGTCGCGCTGTGTTCGTACGGCCTTAGCCCCCGTCCCGCCGCGCTTTCCTTTCAGGGGTCTCGCGCCTAGGAAGGTTCGCACGCAGCAATTGGAGCTGAGCAAGGCGGATAAGAAGCAGCTGCTCGAGAAAGGGAACACCGTGGACGGAGATGGCATGGACACGGAAAGAATTTCGGGGCTCGGGGCGGGACCGTGAGTCGACTCCATGGCATGCAAGCTTCCTTCCCGGTTGGTCGTTTGAGATAGTCACGATGAAGGTAGACAACAAGCCTAATGTGTGGCCGTGGCGCACGTTGCAGATGTCTTGTTTTGTTCTTGTGAGCTCCACTTTAAACGCTCCACCACGGGGAAGCTGCTTGGAAAATACCTTGGTGGTCTATCACTGTCTTTCGCCTTCGGGTTTCGACAGATTATGATGCTCGGCCTCGACCCTTAGCCCTCTATTCTGTCGCATGCCCGGCGTTTAGTTTATTCCGCAGGTGTTCTGATGCGTCCCTCTCTGTTCTTGCTGCACTGCTCTGCTGTTGTATGTATCGTGCTTTGTATTTCCAGTGCGAAGCTCCACGAGCACATCCCCTCGCTGACCCTCAAAGAAAGGGAGTTAGAGAGGCTAAAACGGGAACGCGAACGCAAGGAAGGAGGCCTCACTGGTGAGAGCGACGGCTAAGTTTCTTGGCCCTACGCACCAGCTGTGGATAGTCCGTGAGGCGGTACACATATTTTTTTTCAAGAGATCCAACACAGGTCAGATTTTCGTAGGGTCTCAAACAGGTATGTGATGGCTGCCAACCCTCTCCCGTTTGTCGACTGCCGTTGTGATGTGTTCGGGTTGGCAACGGATCTTGAATACTGCTGTCCAGTTTTGCTCTTCGACCTCAAATAAAAATTGTCTCATCGCTTTTTTCGCAGAGGAAAGCCTGGTGGAAATCGTGGATTACGAGAAAGAGCAACGGGACCTGGCTGCGGTAAAGGCTGCGGCGAATCCGGGCGTGGCGGTGTCAGGGGGCAGTAGTCGCAAGAGCCTCAAGGAAGAAAAGCGAGCCAGGAAGCACGAAAAGAAGGAGAAAAAGAAGGCCAAGAAGGAGAAGAAGAAAGCCAAGAAAGCCAAGGAGGAGGCCGAAAACGGCGAGCGGCAAAATGCTAAGAACGGTGTCCACCAGCGAGATCAACCTGACAGTAGCGACCGGGCAAGGGGCCGTGACGCTCACAGACATAAGACCTCGGATGCAGACGCTGTCCGTGAAAATGGCAGGGAAAGGGGAAACGGACATCAGCGAAGCGGGGCGGGAGCGAGTGGGGAGAGACAGGGTCGCACAAACGCAGAAAGCGGTCGTCGGAGAACAGCGGATAGCAGGGAGAGAGAAAACCATCACGAGAGAGAAGGGGCCCGCCGAAACGCAGACGACGGTCGACATAGAAGGGTGGATGGCAGAGACAGGCACTACCGTTCAAGAGGGACCCAAGGGAAGACCAGCGAGCGGGAAGGTATTAGGGTCAGGGAGGAAACCCAGCCTGCAAGCCGGGGTAGAGCAAAGCTCGAACAACGGGGTAGGCTGCGAACACCACGCCCAGGAAGCAGGAGCCCTGGTGCTCGGAGGGAACAGTCGCAAGGAAGGCAAGAGAACCGGCAGCCCAGCCATTCGCGCGATCGGTATCGTCGCCAAGAGGGCCACCCGGGTGAGGCAAGCGGGGGGCGGGACAAAGAGAGGCTGGGCCGTGGTGTGCGTGAGAGAAATGGGGCGTCCAAAGGCAGCAGTCGCAGCAGCAGTAACAGTAGCAGCAGCGGGAGCAGCAGCAGCAGCGGGAGCAGCAGCAGCAGCAGGAACAGCAATATCAGTGAGAAGCGGCACCCAGTCGCTGGTGACAAGCGCCGCCGCAGCCGCAGCCACGACAACAGGAATGCTGGACGCGTGTCGGATGCCCGCAACCGCCAGCCCGGCGCGAACACTCGTAAAAGGTCGCTTGAAAGATCAGGGCGTCAGGGAGCGAGCAGGAGCACCCGGCGCAGAAAGAGAAGCTGGAGTAGGAGTAGGCGATGACTCTCGTAACCGAGGACGGGGCACGCTTAGTGATAATCAGGACGACGGGGGCAGGGATGGACCGTCTGTCACCGGTGTGATGACGAGACACGATTCGTCGAGCGTGACAATACGCGGCCATCATAGTCCTCTCGTGTTGTGTAACTTATTGCTGCACCATCATGCGGTACACTAGTGTGTGGCAGAAATGAGTTTGGTACGATGGGATTATGTAACGTCTTCAGGACAAGTCAATACCAATTTTGCGGTCAACGGTCTGAAGGTTTGCTCGTGAAGTGATATGGACGGTGCTCACTGCTCAGCGTTGGCCGCAAGCGCTGTGTTGATGAACACGAGGGAGGCACACTGCGCCATCATTCATTTCGTTGTTACGTGGAACGAAAGCAGCTGCGAGATACTTCGATTCGGATGGTCGCAAAACCTCAACACTGACAGTTGAAGGCTTTTAGTCGCCTGAATAGGAGGCCTCATACTAACGCACAACTCAGATGAAAGATACACGCAGATTTATCTGGATTTGTTCAGTATAGCTTGTTCTGCGAAATCCCGACTAAAAGTTCTAAAAATTCCGTCACCACGCCTTCCTCTTCCGTATGATCGAGAGGAACGACGGGACAGTAGTCGAGTCCATACATGTATCCGTCGTGACAATCCAGGAGCAGTACGCACGACGTGAACTCGAACCGACATGCGATTCACAACAATGATGGCCCAACAAACTCGAAACCCTCTTCAATTCCAATCCGAATTCGTGACCGCGTTTTGACCGCGGCCGATCAAAATCTACGAGAAATAAATCGCGGCGGTGCCTTCTCTCGATCTTGTCTTCAAACCGTACCCAAGGAATTTCAATCTAGGCGACACCCCGGTGCCGAACGGAAGCATTTTGTCTTGAATCTGCCTTCACCAGCATACTCGAGACAAACATCTTTCGAGTCTGCCTTTTCGCTCTCCTTTTCCGCAGCTGAATTCTCTGAGCTCAACAATTCCACGACCACGAGATTCGTGGCCCTCGCCAGCGCGCCTAGCCTACGTTTACTTCGGCGAATGCTCCACAACAACGTCAATCGCTTTCCGACATCCGCGCCGAACAACGTATGTGTCCCACCAATGAAGCCGCCAAAACGAAGCAGCCGGAAATAAGCACTCCAAGAGGCCGCGTCGGCGGCAGCCTTTGTTCGGAAATGTTGTCGTATACAACTGGTCACGTCGTCACACACCAAATTCCAATCCGTTCAAAGGATCAAGGAAAGCCGACCTCGGATTGGAGGCAGCCCTGCATGAGCAGGGCACTTCATCATAATCAACCATAAATGGAATCGAACCCGCATCATCATACGCGGTGGGTGTAGGTCAGGCCGCAGGAGAATCAACAAAACGGGAGAGCAGCAAAACAAAATACAACGACTATCAACACGAACGGGCTTTCCCCGACCTGATGCACGCAAACCACCAAAAATAACCCTGAATGAAACCAAACGACGCACTTCCGGACAGTCGTGGCGTCGACATAAAATTGTGGGGTGACACAGGCCCTCGACTTTCCGGTATCGGAGCCACGACTGTACACCGATTTCTGTTACGATATCAACCTCGTCTCTCTCACCGATCGGACTCACAAAGGACGGTTTGGAAAAGCAGCGTCTTTCCACATGTCTACTATCCTCTGGACATGTCAGAAGCAACAAGGTCAACTTTCCCTTTCTCTCTACAGCAGTAGTAGTAGGTTGACCTAGCTGGGGTCGTGATTCGAAACTAAAGTAAAGCCTACGGTGTCATTGGAGTGTTGAACAGATGATCTCGTGACTACGACAGGACGAAAACGCGTTCCGTCGTCACAGCGCTTTTCATCATCCAATTAGCGCTCAGGATGATCCGCACACCACAGGGTCAACCCTCTTCAGCGCATTCGCGGGAGAGAAGACAAGACAAGACCCTCACATCACAACGTCCCGCACTCCCTCTCGTCGACATTCTTGTGCTAGACACGGCGTTTCTTCAGGGGCGGTTTGTTCGGCCGGCTTTCCTGGCGTTGGGTTGCTTTCTGCCCGGCTGGGCCCTGGGATTCAAAACCGGTGAAGCTCCCTCGCCGTCGTCCCAAGTCCCGGCTCCGTCCTGTTCCCAGTAGCCGTCGATGGCGTTTTCCAGCCCTTCCGTGCTCATCCACTCTTGCTGGTAAAATATTGACCCGCTAGAGGATACCATGACGGATGGGCGGGCCCCGTTGGCGTAAGTGCACCAAACTGGCTGGTTAAGCGAGCTGTAAGGGTTGCCCGTGAGGTAGTCTGGAAGGACAACCTGTGTGCGCGTGTTTCGGGGCAAGAGACACGAGCATGCGGGGTAACCCATTGCCGGAAGAGTAAAAAATCGTCACCGCTAAAACCGCATAATGGCGCTCTACTGGCATCAGCGACTGGTGAGCGTGGCGGTTCTTGTGCCGTCATGGGATCATGCGGGAGAATACTCTTGGAGACGGACCCGAGACAATCGAAAGCTTGGCTCGATCTACCCCGCGTTCTTCCAATTCATGTACTACCGCCGGAACGCGTAGACACCTACGAATGCATACCAGCTGCGGTTGTCAACGGGCTTCCCAGTCGCGGATGAAGTCACTTGCAGCAAACTTGACTTCGCAAGACTGTGTGTCCCAAACCAATCCTCGAGACTGTTGCTGCAGTTTGATTTTGTTCAAGCCAGAATGATTTCCGATGAACGTGTTACTCATGCTGAAAATGTATTCGCACGAACTGCATCCGGCATGTCGCAAAAGAAATCTGTGGGCCAGCTCTCTCGAAACGAACTTGTGCGTGTTACCGCATCCTAGAAAAATCTCATCAGATGTGAATGAACAAATGCGAATAATGCTCTAAATAACAGTGATGGTGTTGTACATCGATTCAATGAAGCGTTTTCCATCTGATCTGGTAGTACCATGGAAACGAACTCCGCATTTTACCCTGTTCTACGCCAACAAAAAAAATCAGCTCTTTGTTGAGAAGCTGCAACCCCCCCTTGCGACGCCTAAGTTCGCTCGAAAAACGTGAAATACCCCGCGATGCCATGCGGCATCCTGATCGGAAGATGTGACGGTATCACGTTTTCGTAAGGTATGCTATAACATTCGACGGGTTGCTCTCACCTCATCCGGATGAGTGATGCTGCGAATTTTCTTCGCCTTTTCAACTCGGACGTCATACATCACCGGCTGCCGGTAAACGCTCCAAGCATTCGGCGCAAAACTGCCCGAATCGAAGTTGAGGTCCGGGGGCTGAGGATGCGGCTCTGGCCCGTAGATGTGGACAAAAATCGCTTTGTCCCCGTACTGTTCTACCTGTGGGACGGTACAAATTAAGGCAAGGGCACCCAAATATCTTGTCAGGCACGAACGAGAGTTCGACAATGGCAGTCAACGCAGTGTCTTTGCGGCGCGACTAGCTAGCATGACATGGTGTAGGTTGGGCAAGAATTATCACATCAGCGACAAGTTATGGGGCATCGATATGCCTGCACAGATCTGTTCTTGGGGTTGTGCAGTTGGAGGCCGCAGCTTTAGTCCGAAAATGAGCAGATCTGCGTCCAAACCAATCCACTTTCACAGCAGCGCTCGCCCGTCACAGTTACAACATCCTCCACTGCGGGTCTGCAACAGCAGCTTAAACCACTATATCGATCCCTTGGACAACCCCTGGTTCAGGGGGTTGAGACAGGTGGTGGCGAGCACAACGGCAGGGTCAACGTTTGGGTTGGACCAACGTCTGCAGGTAGCCTTCGATCCAACTGTATCTATTGTCTGTATGTTCCGGCTCTAGCAACAGTTCTGCGCGTGCCAACTCGCATTATCGCCGTTGTATGATGTATTTACTAAGGCTGGGACTCCGAAAGCCGGAGATCGTTTTGACTTCTTCGATGACTTAAGGCTACGCAAGGTTCCTCGCCGTCTCTTGTATACCCAAGGGTTTCGCAATGGCGTTTGTTCCCCGATCACTTGTTTTCTTTCTCACAGGTCATCTGCTAGATAATAAAACACGTTAAAAAATCTCGATTGTCCCCGCTGGCACAAGCCCCAGGAGACGCGAACCTCTACATCTTTTTGGAAAATCCTACCAGCTTGAGCAACCCCACCGATCAAAATTCTGTGATCAGTTTAGGCCTTGTACCGCGAGATGGAGGTGCTAGAAGTTTTGCGATTTGAGCACAATCTTCCCCCCGAATTTTTTGGTGCACCAGCGCACCGAAGTGTGCTTCTGTTGCCGACAGTTACGGCACGCCACCAGAAACTACACTGCTCGCAACTGCCAGAGCCTACCGATATGGTATTTGAGTGGCTTCGCATGACTTCACAGCGGCAGCAGACAACCAGAAACGACGCTAGGGTGTCCTCGTGAACTGTATGTAGTTGCATGCAGCAGCCCGAAATTTGGCCCAAATTCCGGATCTTCTGGTTCCTTTGACGCGCCGCCGCCGTTCTCCATGTGTGTATGCCCGATCAAGAAACGGATTGAACGCGAATGTAGCCGGTTCACCGGGTGTGCTCATACTGCAACAACCCATAGAGGCTTTTGAATTTGGCACCATTTCGCCTTTTCGCTTTTCGGCGCAAAACGACGTGAAGACAAGGGTCCCTCCATGTAGAAAACGTGACCCCCCCCCCCCC